TGAATTGTTCAACTATGAATGTTCAGTTTGAGTTTCAAAGAAAAAAATTTAAATTCTCTGTGCATTAAAAAAAAAATTAAACACAAATCACCACTACAATTTTGTTTCCGGACAAGTGGGAAAACATAATGTGGCATACATAATAGATTGTGTACTTTGAAGTTTTCTCATAGATCATAGGTTAATGATGGCTTTATGAAGCTGGATTCATGCGTATCGCAGAGGTTATACGTAGTTCTGTTAAGATTTGCTGGAACATCTTGTAAGCTGCAGAGTTTAGAAGTAAATCTGTTAAGATCCACTGGAACATTATGCACCACACACAATGCTCGCATCACTGTAATTGATATTACTTTGTTCCACTTTGAAGAATTTGATCGTGAAGGTAGGAGATAACTACAATTATTGAGCCATCATGATTCTATCATGATCTTAATTGTTCTTTTTTTTCTTTTATCTACGTAACGAAAATGTTCAGCAAAAATTTTGTTAATTCGTTGCAAAGAGTAAAACTAAAGCTACGGGAAAACCAGTTTTCTTTCATTCAAATTCTTTTCAAGTGAATATTGTCAACAGATAACTCATGAACTATCACGGGAATTCAAAACATTAGAGTTAAAAGAATTACAAAATATACACGTGTTAATATATCTTTCAAAACTTCATCATTTTCACACAACATCTTCTCGTTAAGGCGAGGCATATCACTATAGCATAGTTCCAAACTCCGGCTCCATAATTGGTTTCATTTCCCATGCAGAGATATTGGGTGTATATAATCGGTGCATTGGGTTAAACAAATTTGCTCATCCAAGGAATCATCATTAATTTCCAACTGAGACCCTACAGACCTTCATCTATAAGACTTGGTTAGACTGCTATTATGATTATTTATCCAATTATATAGGAGAAATATATTTATGTTCGAATTGTATGTTAAATTTCATCATTTATTTATCAAAAGTATTGAAGGTATCAATACAGAAGAAGACAGATGAGGAGGAGATGTGACAAGTTTCAACACAACTTACAACCATGGGCTAGTCACTGCATACGGTAAGTGCTTAGATTGCGATTTACAAAAAATTACTACAAGAAACAAATTGAAGTACAGGAGATTATACATCACATCAAAATGTTGGGATGAAATAGTACTAAAGAATTGAAATATTGATACTTGTGTCTCGTTTGATCCGCCTCGATGTAGGTTACATTTAGGCAGGTACTATACCAACTTTCAGCCCGAGGTTGGCCGATGGTCAATACCACGTGAAGACTTTGCGGTAGAAGCAAACGTTTTCCCCACAATCTTACATGTCCTTCTCTAGCTCTGTCAAGCATTTGGCCTCTTTTTCATCCCTGAACCGAGGCGAATCACGTCACATGTAACAAGCTCTTCCTAGAGTCACAACAATTCCAAAATCCCCAATTCAAAGTACAGCTTTAAAGCTCGCACATGCAAATGTGAAGTGCTTACCAGAGTACTCTCCATTCGAATCCCGGGACCATTTACACGATATTGAATGTTTGAAAGTTAATCGTCTGGTATGCTGATGTGTTGCTGGCAAAAGATGGCGAACAATCTGCAGATCTGACATCCTCTCAATGGTGGATTCAAGAGTCCATATTCGACGTTCAGAACATTTATATATGGCAATGTCGGTGGGATGACGAGAAAGCATCATAAAGTGGCGTTGGTGTTATGGTAGAAGATATGCATATTGATAAAAACACTTTCATCATCATGACGAGACACAAGTGACAGTCATCAACATGCGAAACTACGTACTGCGACTAGAGTCAATGTTATCATTTGCTTCTGTTGGAGTTTGCACTCAAACAAAACGTGGAGACATTGTGGCATGTGCCAATCATATGTCACGCACATATAGAATTGAAAATGCAAGTATGCGTGATGGGAATGAGAAGGAAAATGAGTGACTGGCTTAAAGCCAACAGTACGAGAGGGCTCACGAGCTTTGCGGATTCTTTAGTTCTGATGAGGTTGTTGAGGTGCCGAAGTGCAATATTTGGGAAATCATTGCCGTATATGTGATAGATGGCATTAAGACTGCATCTATCCATCCAGTGATGAATTCCAGCGTGCGAAACAAAAGCAAACCAAAGAGGAAGTTATAGGTAGACAGCTAAGTCAAAAAGAATCGTAATGATTCTTCGATATGGAGAAATAATGTCAAAGCAAAATGCAGCTAAGTAGAGTTCAGGAACTTGGATGGATAGCATGTTCATATTAAAATCCGACCAAGAATAATTCATGGTTTGAAGTAAAATCCACATTCGTAATTATCAGCCATGAGCTTCAAAGACTATGAGGAAAATTATTCCCTTCGTTCCACTGGTGGTGATGTATAATTTATTCCCCCACGGCGTTAGCAAGCTCACTAGAACAACTTTATGTCAGCTCCGTTCCTAACAAGAAGGTGATCTCCGTCTCTGCCTCAGCCACATAATATTGCTGCAACTCTTCACATCTGGCCAAATCTACGCAAACATTCTGTGTGCCCTTAGAACTACAAACATACTTCAGCTTATCTACCGACAGCTACGAAGCAACACTATAACTTCCTCGATCAGAAGGGTACAGGGAATTGAGCCACAGCTGTGTTGATCTCTCTTGAATATATAACTTCCCCCTCTTCTACATAAGGAAGACCTTGCTGCTAACGCTGCATAAAGTGCGTACTTCGAGAAGCGTAACAGTTTCAGGTTTAACATTCTTCCTTTGTAGACATTCATGTGATGTCTAGGTGATCAGATCATTCTCAATCTCGAATTTATCAAGTTGCCTCGTTCAGGTGATATCAGGAATCTGTTATGAATAGCCTCGGGCCGTTGTCCCTTCTACAGAGAATGCGTTGCATGGCTATTCTGATGTCAAGAGTGAAAGTTACTGTACGGAGAAGGAACAGTAAGTAACAATTTGAGTTCCTGCCTATTTGATACATTGTGCAAATCCTTTCATTTCAAGCCTGCACCCAACTTGTGATGTACTACTCCATCGTTTTGTTTGAGAGATTCAATAAAAAAGCATGGAAACGTACTCTCTTCTAGAATCAAGCGCTCCCAGGTGGACGACTGTAAACCAGCTGCAATTCCAGCTTCTGCAGTCACATTATGTAACGACACACTGAACATATGCTTGAAGTTGCTACTCCCGCTAGAAGCCGCAAATGCATTGCATGGCTTTTGCAATGCGTTCGATTCAAGTCTGGAAGATCTTGTGGAAGATGGGATTCTGGGCAATGCACGTACACATGGGCATACTCCAGTCGTCTGTGAACCGGTGAATATATTAGTAGGCTCGAAAGCTGACAACAAGGACGTGGATCCATACTTCTTTTCTCTTCTGCAGTCGAGCTGTGCAGTACGTGTAAACAACTACAGAGAGAGAGAGAGAGAGAGAGAGGTGTCCGTGGTGATGCGGACTGCATGTTTTGTCACATTTATGGATAACGAGTGCTCCACCGCATTTGAGTGTTTCAGCCGAGCTCGACGATGAAACCGAAGAACTGGTGAATGTTACTGGCATGACCCACACTTCTGGCTCGTCTTCGTTCATCACATGAGCAACTTTATGGACCTAGGTTTAGCTGGTACGAACATCGATAATCACGAAGGTAGTAACTTCCACCTCTGACGACGATGAAATTGATTACGTTACCATGGTCAAGCCGCCAGGTACAAGTCTCATGTTGAGGAGTGATAATGAATGCTCGAAAGATTACCTCCATCATAGCAATGAACTTGCAAGCCGGTAGGCTTCTGGCATGCTTCGGAAACATTAAAACAATCTTCTGTTTACTTAATATGTGTAGCAGTCGTGACTGTAGCCGGCCCCGAATTTGTCTTCAATGCAAATCTCGTTTGACCTGGAAGCTTGTAGTAATTTTAACCAGCGAAAGCACACTTGTGTTTTCGGCTTCGCTGGCTAGGAAAGATGGGAGGGATTTGTGAATGATATTCTCGTGCTGAATACTTTTGTTGAATCTCCAGGGCAAAGTTAAGGTACGTGGAGAAACTAATGGAGGAGAAGTAACGAATCACTATAAAAGGAAGGTGTACTTTCGGTCTAAGGATCGCTGTTGTTCTCAGCTGTCCCCTCCAACCCCTGAGTTCATGTATGGAGTATGATCACAATATTTACGCAAAATCTTACCTAGTCGCACACTCAAACTGCTCTACTTCTTCTAGTCTGAGTTATAGATGTTTGACACAATGTGCAACAGCCAGGTCGAGTAATGAGAACTTTGAAATCTCCCGATTCCAAAGATGAACGATCCGGCCGCATGAGCTCCAATTTCACACGAGAACCAGAGACCTTCACAGTCTTGATCAAGCAGACAAATCTGACAGCCGAAATTGATAATTTTCGTTGTGCACCAACGCCGTGATCTCAGCAGATGTACAAATTTTGAGTTTATACAAATGATTTTCAAATACAGAGATCTTTCAAGATATTTACATGTCACCGGATGCACAACAGTAGACAGAACGATGACACTAGAGTTAGAAGTGCCACAACACCTGACAGATGTGGATACATAATATTGTATATTTTAACTCAGGCAGAACCATTGTTTACGAGAAATCTAATAAGACAAAAGCTAGTTATCTCTCACTTAGGGCTAATTAGCCCTCACCCTAGTATAAGCGATTCTCTGATGGGTCGAACACTTAACACCCTACCCTGATTGTAGTACTGGATTAAGGACCGTAAAGTTCACAGAACTGGTACATGTAGAGCCTTGCAAGACTTTAAACGAACACCCTAAAAAGTTGTTAAACTTGCGGGCCGCACAAGGGGTGGAGCATGTGGGTTTTTATGAAACCCTCCATACTTATTCCATCAAGTCTCTTGGGCATGACCTACTCAGTGTAAATACTTAGTCCGAGTGTTAGGAAAGATCTACGCCCACACGCAGAAGTTCGAAAAGATTCATGGAAAACTGATTCGAGGACAGCCTCAAATTAATCCAGCCGTAGCTTTCCTAAAATTTGCCACGTACGACGCTTCCAAGAGCAAAAGCCATGTTCCGATCCCATTTATAAGCCTGACTACAGTACTGATAGTGCAAGAGGAGTTCGCAGACAAATTGCACTTATGAGGTCAAGTCTTCAAAATGTACACTCCTATTTCACATTACATATGACACATTGAATACAGATAAGTTTACAAGCTTGTTTGACCATACACAGGTCAGCATCTTCGTCGGGTTCGCTTATGAGCCGTAAACATACAAAATTGATATACATGGTTGAGACGGTTGTTTGTCACCAACAGCGGCGGGACCTCTCACCCTCTTCTATTTCAGATTTCCTGCAGCCACCCGGCATGTCACCTGGCACATCTGGAATCCACCTTCATATCTTCTGCACTTCCAGCCTTGATAAAGTTGCAGTGCACAGAAGAGTCTGATGGCCAGTAACTGCGCCTAAGGCAGGTAAAACAAGAACAAAGGTCAAGTACATAAAGGTCCTGTGTTTCTTGATCTACATGATTAAGGTGCTCTGGGCGAAACTGACCTCCAGTATCTAGCAACACACTGAAGAAAAATGCCTACTCACGGTGCAGTGGTAGTTCATGCCCGCCAATAATCATGTTCATTCTATCTTGAAGGGAGATAACCAAGAACCCAAGCAGCCAGCGTAGATTGTGCTGTGTTGCCTCAAGTCCACTAAAGCTCCATCAAAATGCAGGTCAAATGCTTTCAGGATATCTTCTTCCTTTCTTGTGCTCCCCAGTAGGGGCACGAACAAAGTTTCAAGGCCCTCAAATCACTACATCCTCAGCTTCCACGTCATCGGATTTGACGTACTATTACAAAATCGTCGACTGATTTAATTAGAGGCCCTTGTGATCATCTGTCCATTGAACTCAACGAGTCGATGTCCAACCGCTCTTGGTAAAATCAACCCTGCACAGCTGAATCTACACAACTAGCCCTCATGTGGCAGGTTTTTGAGGGATGAGGGAGAAACCATGATCTTACGGTGATGGAGCGAGCCGATCCCAAATGGTCCTTAAACCAGCAGGTATTCCCTCTTTCGCGGCTCAGACGAATATCACTTCCAAATATGGACAAGGATTAGCCTCCACGTAATTGCTCACCTCAACATCAGTATGAAAGTGAGGAGTGTACAATGCCTTTCGCTGGTTCAGACCGACAGGATATAATGTGTGTATTTTCAGGGTTCCATCGCCCCTTATAACAGCCGGGCGCTCATCCCACCATATCGGTACATGGTTCAAAGATTTAAATTTTGTAAAAACCGCATTTTTTAACCCCGAAGTTGTCAAATTTGTAGACCTAAAAGACAACAAATAAGGGAGAAAGTTCAGAAACGTGGCCAAAATCCAAAATACTAGCATTGGATTCCCTTCCCAATCACATCACCACATTGACAACCATTTCATTTCCATACGAACACATTATGGTTGTCGATGGATTAGGCTATTCAACCATCACATACCAACGCTGTTGAAGGTGAACTCTGAAGTGACGAACTTTAGCACAATTCAAGAAACTTGAAAAAGGAAATGTTCTTACTTTAAAAAAACCGAATGCAGTTGAAAACGCCCTCTTTCACGAACAAACAAATGATACGTGATAACTCCAAACTTGTCGGTACACTTGCATGGTCTCGGTTTCTTTAAGGTAGCAGCCAGTTGTTTCTCTTCACGCGATCGTATCTTAGTAGCGATATGTATACAAAGTCGACACGACGAATGTACAGCTGCCATATCTACTAGGGCTTTAAACCCGTCTGTTGGTCCATAGTACTTCCACCTGATGTTACAAGATCCCCAAACAAATAAATATAACAGAATCGACATCCACATACTGAGCTCTTATTGTGACTGATCAGAAAGCGCACAACAAAATCCTTGTCCATCAAATTGGCTTCTAAAGTACATGTATTTCTAATTTGAAGATCGGACAACGGCTGAATGCTCATGACATCTCAAGTCCAGCTAGAAAACTTCACATTCAAGAAAAGAAGGAAGATTCTTGCAAAGCATAGCTGGCTATGCTTTGCAAGAAAGCTTGCAAGAAAGCTATGCTTTGCAGGTACTGAAAGCGACGATGTTTGCTAACCCTCAGAAGCTAATGATATAAATGGAATGAAAAATTAAGGATATCAATTACGTGACATACCGCAAGGTCTCATTGTATGCAGTAAAATTTGATGCCAAATATTTTATCTGACGTGCAACAGCTGGTATGTCATTCAAGGACTTGATATGTAACAACGCATTCGGAGCAGGGGAAAAATTGTCAATGTTTGGAGCTCCAACAACCACTGGTACCGAACCTGAAACATAACACCACAAGATCAATCATATTCCATATCATCTCTACCACCATCACGCAGCATTTTTCCCTGAAAGTAAAGCGTGCTTTAAGGAGGTCACTGGAAGCTTCCAAAAAGGTTCTTTCTTTTTACAAAAACTGTAAAACTGATTCCAACTTCTGGGCAGGAGATACCCTTATATCTTATTTATCTGAGCAGCAAAAAACTGAAAGAAATGCACCTGCTACAAGGGATTGCCAGAACTTTTCTGTCACATAATCATCCTCATTTGAGTTTTCGAAAGCTAGACTGAACTTGTATCTTCTCAAGGTCTGCAGTTTGTTCACACCTGCAAAAGTGAACTCTTCATAGTCAGACATACTTAATTCCGGAAAATTAGTCACAAAGTCCAAATGTCTGAGTGAGCGATGATTTACAAATGGCTTGAAAAGCTTCTGATCTCTATTCTAGAAGTGCTCGTTCAACTCAACAACAATGAAAAATAAACAACTGCTGATGGCTGTTCAAGAACAAAATTGGTCGGCGGTATTGAGAAAAGGGGCCTCGAAGATATTGATTGTTAGCAAACCCAAAATAAAAGGATAAAATCAACGGAACTATATCATGAAAAGTATGCAAATACTAGTCTGAGTGTGGGCAGCACTAAGATCTACTGTTACACAAGTGATGATGGGATAATAATCCTACCTCGCCCTTCACGAGTACGTAAGCATTGCCCATAAGAATCAATCCTAACTCCCTGTGCCTTCAAACCCTCCAGGGCTTCCAGTCGAAAGTTGTGGGCTCCACAGTTTGATATAAATGCAGCTGCGTAGGCGCCTTCAGTTTTCCTTGAGACTGGTGACATAAGGTCATACTCGGCCCAGGAAAAATAACCAACGGGTACTTCCGATTCAAGGCTTGTTGTCATCACTACATCATAGCCCCTTCTGTTGAAACAAAAGCACTACGGTCACTTACCAATCTTCTCCTTCAAAACTTCATTCTGTTCTTTTACAGCATAATAAGTTAATACTCCGTCTGAACCGGCGTGGTCACAGCCTGTGCTTGTCAGGTTACAAAAGGGATGTACTACCAGGTACCGTTGATGTACATCGGTAACTTGGCTCAGTAAAGCTTCTAAATCATCTACTGTCCAATATATCTTTATCCTTCATCAACGTGCAACGAGACATAATGGTCTGATACCGTGATCTCGGACTCCCGGAGCGGTAAAACACTTTTCTACGATATGCTGGATGACACACACTTCAACCTTGAATTCTAAGACCTTATCATGATTAGTGGACACAAAGTTGGCACAAAAATTATTACATTTACAGGAAAAGTTCAACACTTTAGACCTCTATATATCAAGAACCTCTATCTGAAAATGCCAATCGACATAGATGTCACCCATGCGCAAAGGATTCTCCATCAGAATACCCAATGTGCAAAGTATATGGATCTGCGGCTATTCATCAAACCAATTGCATCTCAAACAACAAGCTTCATTTGAAATAGAAGTTTCAAGGGCAGAAGCGAGCGGTCTACGATTATTCTGAAATTCACTTACTTGCGAGCGCTTGTTAGGTCATTTTCCGGGTAGTAAGATGATGATTCCATTGAACGCAGAATATGACAGGACTCCTTCTCCATCCAACTAGGTAGTCCAGAGGCAGCCCTCAGTACACCGTCCGGCCTGAAGCTTTCACTCACGGTGCTTCTGAACTTACATCCGACAGCACAACTGTCCCAAACCTGCAGTAAAATATGCAATGATGTTTTCATGCTTTTGATGTCTTCGCCAGTAACTACATATGCCAAACTAAATTGATGGGATGAGTTTGGAAAATTAAGCCCAGGTATCAAAAGGCCCTCAAGTTATCTAAAACTGACTTCTCAAGTTGTTGTAGCTCTTTTCCTGGGCACTACCATTGAGGAACTCATTACCCACATCAAATACCAACTAATCTCAAAAATGATAGAATCTCCGATCTCTTAACGTTCGGCAACAAAAGCACTAGGTTGATTAGTGTACACAAGCTCCATACAAGTCGATTATTTTCACAACTGCTCGGAGTGTAGATTCTACAGTTTAAAGACTTCTAATCACAATGCGTATACTGGGATCCAACTTCAGAAGCAGAACAATCTACCCGGTTTTGTACAAAAATGGGCGGACCTCTACTGAATAATTCAAAACTTCGTGAGCTATTCAGAAGTACTACCAAGATAATTAACTTAGGCAGGACTGAATGACAGGTTTCAACACTGAGTTCCGACACGGCAGTTCCACAAACATTTCGTGATCATCGAAATTATAAGAGGTTTGAAGGCAAGAATCAAACTTGGTTTTCACCGAACGCCACGTGGATCGGCGACTTGGAAAAATTGCGCCCGTAACCAAGGAAGTCATTTTTCTCCAGCCACTCCTCGCAGCTTTCGTTGTTGGATCGGTTGACAGAATCATCCTTGTGGATAACTTCGGCCCTATGTTCCACATCATTGTCCAATGAAAAGTTCAGAGCTGCAAAGCTCTTGAAATTGAAGTACTCTCCGTTCAATTGGTCCAGATGAAAAAGAAAGACCATCTCTCCGAGAACAACAACTATGATAATCCACTGTATCCATTTCGTCCATCTTCTCCTTCCTCCCAACACAGCACCAGTCCTCATATTCGTGGGCACTGCCATAGATTCAAAGAAATTTGTTCTACGAACTCTCTCCTTCCGTATTCGCCGTAGGGTTGACAACGGATGCGCTAGAGAGATAATTCGCTGTGAAAAAATCCCCTGTCTTCATGTTCCCACCGGCACATGTGTTGCCAATCAAACAATCCTTTTGAAGACTTCAGATCAACGTCGGCAGTTTCCTCATCTTCCATATTTTGGACAACCTACTTTCATCAGTCCACAATCTTTGCAATCTTCCGCGCTCTATCCCTTCTCTTGGTCCTTACCCTGCTCTCGATCTAGTTAGGTCAAGTAAATCTGTTGGTTCTTACTCGGTACTCTGTCCGTACCAATTCTGCTCGACACCGAGCTGAATCAATTGGCAGCAGCTGAAACTACAAAGCGTCCAACGCGATCCAGCAGCTGAAAAAAACAGGAGAATTTCAATCACAAGGTCCCAATAACACGTGCACACTTGTCTCTCTCAAAACCTCTGAGCCATAAGACCGAAGTCAAATTCCACCCCAAGCTTACAGAGGGACCGGCACCACAGAGCGAGCCCTGTCTCCTCTCCTCCACCGACACGAAGTGCGAACGCTTGCGTCAATTCCTCAAAGACAGATCCAAATTCGAACTTCCCGATCAGAACCAACTCTCCAACCTCCACGGAATTCGTCTACGCAAGTCATGGACTCCCTGCCACTTCTCAAACTTACAACAGTCTCTTGCACACGACGAGAGAACCAGGGAAAAAACACATCCACCGAATCCCCGGCTCGCCTTCTTCACAATGCACCCGAGAGCGCGCTGCGATCTCCACGAATGGCAACGAAAATCGATGCCAAGAGCGATCGATGGGTGACACTACGTAGAAGAAGGCAGCAGCCAAAGGAACGAGGAGGAGGGACTCACACACCCAGACACGGCCCAAGGACAAAGGCTCTTCTGGGGGACTGTTCTTCCATTAAAGTCCCTGCTGCGCCCAGCCCAGTCGCTTCTGGGGGAGGAAGGGGAACCGAAGTCGCCGGCCGGCCGGCTCGCTCCATGTACACAGTACAGTACGTGGTCGCTGCCGGTTGCCAAGAAATGTAGTAGCCTCGTCGTGGTTGGAACTTCGTCGTCCCGGCCACGGGTAGAGACCGACGGGGTCGTGAGCAGACTTCGGCCCTCGACCTGTTGATCCGGTAGTTGGGTCTGATGCAGTTTGCGGCCACGGCTTCTGAACGCAGCGCCGTGTTTTTCCGGCTCCCTTTACGCGGACTTAGCATACGCTGACTAGGACTAGTCTGGATAACTCTGAGAGTCGAACACGTCTCACAGAACATTTCCGAGAGCTCCCTCTTTACGTTTATGCACTTCGCTTTATATTGGAAGAGAAAAAAGTGTTCAGGAAGATATTTTCTATCCCTAATTATTATTTTATTGGATTGTGAAAAAATAAAACTTGGCAATCGGAATCACTTTAATGTTACACGGAATTTATCAAAAAAGTTACATTTCATCTTTCTGCCTACAATACTTTCCTCTTACAAGCATTCCATCCCCGACACCGGACCAGGTAGGAACCATAATTGACTAGCAGTACTTTCCCTCGAGAGCACTTGGAATTAGTCAATTCACCAACGTTTCCCATCTGAACAAAAAAATTTAATTTCAAAACGCCGCAAATTATTTCAATCTTCCTTATACATGCACCACAATGCGACCATCCTTCCACTCAGAATCACTGATACTCGGTTCGATTTTCTTCGTCCCAAAGATCAGAAGAACAAGCATCTGCAGCAATTCCTCTCTTTCTGACGTGCTTGAGACGATCATTGGCGCCCAGGGTCCGCTCTCATATCGACTGAGTCAAATCTTGACGCGATACGTGTCCGATTTTGAATCATAAATAGAAAATGACGTTGGAAGCGTCGGGAGATTAGAACAATGCGATGAATTGAATTGTTGTTGCGCCCAGAGTCAGTACCGCGTACTCTCGGGTCCTTCCTTCTTCGAGACTCCAGCGGGTCAAAGGGACACCACGTCCCGTCGTCGCTCGCGTTCTTTACGGCACGAGCATCATTTGGGCACGAGACGGAAGTACATGATCGCATGATTCCGTTCCGGTCCTTGCCTTAAAGAGTTCCGATGTGCCGAATCCGGTGCACTCATTCGCCGGATGCTGCCGGATTGCTGATGCAAGGCAGGTGGTGATCATAGTTGTGCGGCAGAGCATCAGTCGGGACGGAATCGGTGGAGTCAAAGGAGTTTGGCGGTGGAGCTCCGCTCCTGGTCGTGGAGAACGCGGCTGCCCGCCCGATCATGGAGACGCATTTCACGGGACTCGGATCGGGTCGTGAGTGGGGCCCTTGCGAAGGCCGGATCTTCGTCGGGTAACGACTTTTTGAACAGCATGAGCTCCTGCGGGTGGGACGCAATAATCATCACTCCCCGCGTCATCCTCCTCGTCACCCGCTGCCGTGCCATTTGCCGGACGACACAAACCGCCGCAGGGGGATTTACGGCATCACGCCTCGATTTGCGGTAATGCGGCAGCCTGTGGCACCCTTGACTCCAACCGAAATGCAAGCCCCTGGAAGTCGTGGACGAACAGACTCGTGGTTCTCCCATCGGACCGCCTGATCGTGCAACGAACTGCGAGGTCCGTCAGTGACTTCCGACATCCACCTACCTTCAGAGCAGATCACGATGTACGAGTGTCCTGGAAATATTTCCCGGCTCCATTTCTGGCTCGCTTTTACGGAGATTTATTGTCATGGTAAGCGCATCTTATGACCGAGATTCAGATCCAGTCAAACTCTAAATCGTCGGTTCGTTTATCGGTTGCTCCGCATCTCCCATGCCCAGAATCATTTCGGTTTCTCTAGATCATGATTCCAATGTCAGGTGGACGAACTAAGTTCCAATTAATTGATGTTTTGGAAGCGTGTGTGTCTTATGAAGCATTACAGCCGGAGTTATATGACGACATAAACTCCGAGTGAATGACATCCCACACAAATATAAAAATAAAGTGCGAGTACAGGATATTGAGTTGAAGGGATGACAAAAGTGGAACGACCAAATAATAGAAAGTTATCAGTAGAGTGAAGAGTGAAGAAAATCGCTTAATTCATCAGAAAGTACTCGCCAAGAGTGTAATTTAAGTTCTCAACTTTGCATATAGGTGAAAGCAAGGTGATTACTTGCTCAATGACAATTAACCCCTACCATTTAAATTGCCAGATTCCCCAAGTTGCGGGTGTGCGTGTCAAGGTATTTACTTATGAAACCCATGTAAAATCTAAATTGTTTACTTGGACTCTTTGAGTTTCGTTTTACTCGATGCAACCTCATCTACATAACACTTCATGCATGTTCTAGTATCAACAAACTGTGCAGGTTCTTACGATCAAAATTCTCAAACTGGGCCGAGAATGTGTAAGATTCTTGGGGATGAGGAAAATCGGACATCTTTAGATGCAACCGTCAATGCACATAGAGAAATTCATCCATGAGTGAGGGGCATGTTCTTCACAATCATAGGCAAGTTTCCATTCGCGCATGAAATTGGGTGCTGATGATGAAAAATTGATTGTCTTTATGTAACACTTCAATCTGGGCTATTCTAAGAGACAGCCAGACTTTAGCAGACTAATTGATATGGAATCATGGAATTGAAAAGGTCGAAGTAACTAGTCTCGATCTATTTTTTTTTATTTTTTTTTAAGCAAATGATGACTTTTTTCCATAGCCAAAGACGTAAAAATTAGACACCGGAGCACAAACCAAGCTACCCATAAATAGCTAGCACCAGAATTTAGTTATTTTTTAAAAACCTGATAAACCTAGCACACCATTACCAGATGATGAAGCTACCTACATGAGACCGCTCGTAATTCCATCATATTCCTTGCGGTTTCCTATACAAAAAAAATGGAATCATGGATCCACAACGATGTAAAGCCGCGAATGGCTTGGCGAACTCCTCATGGTTGATGTTTTTGACCTCATTCAACTTTGTGCCACGCCGTGCGAGCTAAGTCAATTATGGCGTCCCAAAGTTTCCTCTTCATCACCTCCCGAGGCCACCTGTTACCACGGAACACGAGTTGATTCCTCTGAATCCATATCACCCACAAGAGTGTGCCTCGTATGATCGACTATGTCGGTTGAAATGCCACAAGCTCTTGTAGAAGGTCATTTTTGAATATACATTGCCTTCACAAAAGCATGTTCCATGGCATTGATTCACGTGACGTTTTCGCCATGACATGAAGCACCGTGATAGCAAACGTCCATGCTTAAGCTGCCATTTTGCATCAGTAAAAACAATGCTCCATTGTCTCGACCACTCCACAATCACAACACAAACATTTTGAGTACAACGTTGGAAATGTTTGATGGTGTAAGTGATTAACCGCTATCGCCTTATGATATATGCTCCACATAAAAACGGCTTATTTGCTTGGCCTTCGACTGCTTGACACTTCACATCAGTCGGCCTCAAAGGTTGCTCAAACCTTGCCATGCCATTTTAGCGCACAGTACGTTAAAGTGTCGATCGAGGATTCAGCATCTTCCGCTCAAGTTTCGCACAGTAGGCAAATAGAAATTCTTTGTTGTCCTAGTACCAGCGCTCTAGATCAAATGAAAGACGCAGAATTGGAGTCAAGTAGTACAGTCTGGGCTTCAACTTCTTGCGTTGGGCCTTGAGGGTCGATATAACTCAAATCTGAATAAGTTTTTCCCGCACCGCTGTTGCTGTTTCATCACCTGCATGATATGGGATGAGTACTCTCTATTGTTGGCCAATGGTGTACTGAGTAATTCCTCCTATGATGATGATGTCTACTTCCTCATGCATGAGTTGCGATCAAAATTCCTCCGTCGTAAGAAACATCACTGCTAGATTGAACTGCAGCGAGTTATGGAAAAGTCCGAGCCAATCATCCTTGATCAGGATCAATGCATTGTCGATGAGTGGTTGCCAAGCCTGTGAGATACTCGCCTGGTATCGCTCTATGTCTCGCTTCTCTTCCTCGATAAGTCCATATTGTTGCTTCAGATCTTGCCAAGGCCCCAGCACCATAGAATTGGGTTCCCACATGTCGCGAAGACAAATCAAACTGCTGAGTCTTGGTCTCCTTTGACTACTTCTCCCTACGGTTTCATCTAGCACATTCCTGTCAAAACTTTTACAAGTGATTTGCAAGGTAGTAACTATTTGCGATGGCAGAGCTTTACTAAAACTTCCATCATATGTTTACAGTAACACGTATTAGAATTTGGCAATTGTGTATCGTTGTTGGGTTCCATCCGGTAAAACAAAACTCGATGAGTCCCATCAAGCTTTTGTGGTTCTGATGAGGTTCCATCAAGCAAATATCTCTGTTTGTTTCTTCTTGTAAATGACAAATTCTGCGTTACATGGAGTATGAGATACAAAATATTTGGAAGTAAATGACATTTGCAACCTGATCCAACCTGAGTAAAAGAAGACAAGTATTGCGATCGAGATCACATTTTCTAGGTTTTAAGTAGTAGGTCAAGATGTCAGAATGTACAACTTTCTTGAATTATTAGTATGTTCTCCAAATGTCTTTCATGTATTTGTTTAGGTGTTGTCTAATAAGAAACGCGGTCAAAATTTGAACCAATGAATGTGTTGAAAGTTTGGCTAGATTGTCATCTATGTGACTTCCCAATTTCAATTCATGATCATTTACCACAAAAATACCCCCAAAAAATCTGAAAAAGTATTTTGTGAAAGCTATGAGAGCTTTTTGGAAAAAACAACAAATAGAGATTCTGGAAACATCAATAAAGTAGTTATGGCAATGGATTAGTCACACGATATGAACATGATCGATCTAAAAGATTAGAGATCTATTACTTGATGAAGTTGATCAATGTTTTTGGTTTGATCTTGTTTCCACTTTCAT